AAAAATGTTGTCCTTAGACGCTGGCTAGACAGTGAATTTTGGTCACTTGACGTCACGACCTAAATCTAACCTTACTGTCTTTTGATATTGTGTGCCGGCTGGGAATTATTTTGGCTTTCTACTGATAATTTGCTGCTTTTATTGGTGGGGTTGGGTGTTAAAACCAGTAAATACTGATGGATTATGTCTAAAAAATATCATGGTTTGGTTTTTAATAGTTAAAAGTTGATGGTTTATCATTTTTGGTGGTATTTTCAGTGGAAACCAATTAAATAAATGCCTTTTTTAGATTATTTTGAGTCCACATCATGATACCTTTTAGATTAGTTTGCATTTAAATATATCAAATAAACATCTTAGTGTTCATCTTACTGCACTTTATCTATTATATCTATAGAGTGCTTAAATAATGCATCATCAGGGCCTTATTGGACTGAAGAATGTAAACAATGCCACAAAACTCGGATAGTTTCCTGATTATTGCTGCTCAAAATGTTTTCGCTCCAATGTTACCTAATTCTTTCTTTGTAGCTCACTGGGGTCAAGATCTGTAACTATTTAAAGCTGGGTAGATGTAAATCCCCAAAAGTGTGTGCTGCAGGATAAACTTATTAATCATTATCATATTACTGTATGCCATTTATTTTCATTTGGGCTGTACTAATGGGTCAGACAGTAGACTGCCAGATGTTATAACAAATCAAGCAGAAAATAGAGAAAAACTAGTATAATATAGTTCACTAATGTTGACAAATACAACCTTACTGTAAAGTGTTACCAGATTCATTTGAGTCTTGTGGAAAGTCATCCTTATCTCAAACCTGTCTCGCGCTTCAGAATCTGCTTGTGTGCTTGTGTAGATCTATAAATGTGTGAGTCTGTACAGAGAAAACAAAACGACAGCGTTTAGAAATACATTCACAAGCATCTCAGAAACAAAATGACTTTGAGTAAACGTACAGTATACACTGAACAAGAACACAACCGACAGCGTTATAAAAGATACCAAAGGCAAGTTTAGCGAAAGACAGAATATTCTTTGGAAAAACAAAGTGAAATCAAGCAAGGCAGCTGTGACGATATTCAACTCAAATCAGCGATGCAGACTGACTGGATTAAATGCGCAGAAATCAGCTCACTCTCACAAACAAGCTCTGTGGAGAAATGACACCCGCTTCCAATGCTATCACTTGATTGAATTGGCGTTATCAGCTGATAGACATGGACCAGTATGGGCCTACTGGTAGGCTCAGAAGGCTTGTATAATCCATCCACATGGTTAATCCAACACAAGCTCATTCTGAAAACGTAGTCCCAAGGACGTTTCTGGAGACAGTGGAATACGTCCCGGCAAGTACGTACGGCCGCGTTTATTTTTTTCAAGCGAACGCTAAGGGGTGGTGTGACGATGTTCCCTATCGCGATTGCCAGCCGGCCGACTGCTTACCTCCTTGTGGAGGGCTTCCCCGCTGCAACCCGTCTGTCCACTCAGCTCACCATGTACGTCGGCAGGCTCGAGATGCAGAGAGGAGTCGACCACGGTGATCGGTTTCGAGTCCGGGGAACAGCGGTTCCAGCAATCAGGTAAGACAAAAACAGAATCCCAAAAATTAAGTGAACGAGTTTCGTAACGCGAGAACGCGGTTAAATCCGAAAATGCGGTAGAATAAAAAAAAATCAGGGCTTTTATTTTTTTGGACGGCTTTTGTAAACTGTTGCTCGGGTTTAGGGAAGCGAGCGGGCGGACGGGTCGATCGGTAAAATTGGTTGGGTTCAGGTAAGAAGGAGGGCGGGCCGGTCGCGCAGTCAATCATCCGGTCAGTCAGATAGCGGCCTCCGGTGGGTTCACGCGAGATCAGCGCGGGCGCAAACCGCACTCACGAGAGGCGTCTGAGATGCGAAAAAGCGCACAACAGCGGCCTCTAGTGGATTCGCAAAAACAAAAACCGTTCCCGTACGTACCCGCCAGGACGTATTCCACGGTCTCCAGAAATGTCTGCGGGACTACGTTTCCACAATGAGCCCGGGTTGGGTTAATCAGCTATAGTAATAGAGAAGACTCCAGATCTAGATCTGTTTTTACAATACTGTGCTGGTTGGGTTTAGGGTTGGAGTAGGGGTAGACGTTAATAAATTTAATAAATGATATAAATAATTCCTGTTAACTTCAGGCCGCAGCCGTATGTGATCTATAGCTGATTAACCATGTGGATGGATGATAATAGCCTTCTGAGCCTACCTGTAGGCGCAGAAGGCCCCTACTGTCCCATATCTATCAGCTGATAACGCTCATTCAATCGAGAGATAACATTCGAATCGGCTGGAAATGAAGTGTATGGTGATTTACCACACTGTTTCAACTGTACATTAGGTAAACGATTGTGTGTTGTTTGAATCCGTCAATAAATTCTGCTGCTTTTACTGAATTTTAGGCATTTTCCATTCAAGTGACGAAGATAAGGGGCCTCATGTATCAACACTGCGTACGCACAAAAACTTTTCGCACGCCAGATTTCAAGCTCACGTTTGGATTTACTAACGATGAAATGAACGTGGGAATGTGCGCAGCTCCACGCCAACTTCATGCCTGGCGTATGTGCATTTCTTGTGTGTTTCTTTTATTTCCATTGGCGACTCCTTGAGGCAGTTATGTTAAATTGCACACTACATCTTTGAGCCGTGCAATGGCAGCTGTATGGGACAGGTTCATCCGCATGTCTAGCAGGTATATAAGGTTTCCATACCATGTAGTTGACCAGCCAAACATTAAAGCGCAATTTGCAGCGATCGCCGGTTTTCCCAATGTAATCTGAGCCATCGACTGCACACACATTGCTATGAAGGCGCCAGCAGAAGACGAATTTGCATACGTGAATCACAAACATTTCCATTCTCTAAATGTGCTAATAATATATGATGCACAGATTTATTAATGATTCCTTGTCTTCCTCGTGATGAAGAGTAGGCACAAATCTGATATGTATCGAGAGGAAAAAAAGAAGAACATCTTCATCAGACGCTGGATTCGAACCGAGTCCATGCCCGAATGTGTTAAAACATGTTAACGTGTGTTTTACGAGCTGCGCCACTCATGCTGTTGAAGACACAACAAAATTTTTACACCTTTACATTGCACTATTTCTGTTTTAATCCACTCAGTGCGATTTTTGTTATCCGTGTCAGCTAAACTCTCCCCACTCTATTTTTTTCTTTTGTTATTAATTCCTGAGGACAAACTTGCAAATAACACCGTTTTTCTCTGGTCTACCTCCGAAAGCAGCACCTCTAATTCACATTCTGTTCAAAGTTTCTCTTCTTGCTTGCTTTTGCCGTTGCTTTTTCGTTGGGTTTTGCCAAAGTATAGTAATTAGCATATTCATACGGGGGAGGAGTCAGGGAGGGGTTTTGCGCTCATGCACGTGCGCTCAGTTTCACCCTAATTTGAATGTACAAAGAGAATATGCGTGGGATTCGGCGTACGCAGTGTTTCATACATCTGAATTTTTTACTGCATACGCACATTTACAGCTTTGTTCGTATGCAATGTTTTAGTATGATTTCGCACATGAGGCCCCTGATCCTTAGGTTACAATACAACGTAATTTACTAGCAAGTGTGATGTGAAGATTGTGGGTTTGATTCCAAATAAATGCATGAACCATACAGGTCCCACTTTATATTAAGTGCCCTTAATTAATATGTACTTACACAGGAACTAATAGTTTGTTACAATGTACTTATTGTGTAAATACATGTATTTATTGTGTATTTATGCATGATTTAATACCTGTATGTAATTACATCTGTAACTAACTTCTGTAATTACATTTGTAAATACACTGTTGACCATTCCCTACACCTTAACCCACTCTTAAACCTACCCACACCACCAAACCTGTGCATAACCCAACCCCTATCCCAACTCAAGAGCACCACAAGTGTTCTTGTGACACAGTAAGTACATTGCATTTATTTTTTGATGCAACTACATAGTAGTTAAGGACACTTAATATAAAGTGGGACCTGTATATTTATAGTTTAAAAAAAAACTGATTCAATTAAGTGGTGTAAAAAGTGTAAGCACTAACCCCGGTCTCCTCAATGTATCCAGCACAAGCAGCAGATTAAATAATCAGCATTAAAGGGAGTGTTTGAGGAAAGACTGTGAACACAAGCAATGTGGAAGACGGATGATATAAACTAACTGTAATCCTCTTTGGAGACGGGCAGTCTTCCTGTGTGAAGTGCTCACTCCTACACAAAATATCCACTCAACTCGCGATACAAGCGCTTTTGTTCGTTACGGTTTCAAGCAATGAAATTAACAATAAAAGGCAACAGAGCGTTAATGACATCAGAACAAGGCGAAACGACATGATGCATTTCCCATGTGCTCTCAGTCAATTAGTGCATTCAGAAGAGTAGATTTCCCTGTTTCACCAGTGAGTTAACACATTCAACTAACTATCTAACTAACTAACTAACTAACTAACTAACTAACTAACTAACTAACTAACTAACTAACTAACTATCTAACTAACTAACTAACTAACTAACTAACTAACTAACAAGGGGAACTAAGTACAACTTCATACTCCGTCTGGCCCTTATGGCTATATCATAACATGGGATAATCATATTGATGTTGAATGGCGGTGAAGTGGAAGTCTTACATTATTAAATACATTTGTTGTTACAGAAATAGTTTATGTACATTGTATTTAAGAAATTGCTTTGGACGGTTTAGTGTCTTTAAGAAAAGAAACAAATATTGGCAAAAAATAGGCTTTTCGTTACCACTTTTTGAAGAAGCTGTATGAAATTAACTTTCTGAATACACATTCTTTCTAAATATTCCTAATTTACTGACATGCAAATTATTGATTTAGGGAGTATTAAAAATTGTAAACTTGAGAGGAGGTGATGTTTTATATTTCGTACGTACTTGAGGTGAATTTGTTAACCATGGTGTCAATTAAGGGAATACTGTGATGGACATTAAGTGACCTGCTTTAAATTCAAATTCACAAGCTGTCGTGAAGTACATTCACAAGCAAAACATGGACCACATGAAACAACAAAGACACTTTTAAAAGGGATCGTTCACACCGTAATCTCCTATTATTTGGCCTTCATGCCATTTATAAGCAAATAAATATTACATTTTAAAACCTTGATGTCGAATATGTTGAATATGACTTTTTCTTAGCACTTTCACATTATTTTTATGGTGCTTTATGTAAGTTTGCATGAGTCGGTTACACTCCCTTTTATTAAACTAGCTCAAACTGTAAAAAATTGCACTTTTACAAAGTAGCACAAGGTTATGGGTTTGATTCCCAGGAAATGCACAAATCATCTGCCAAATGCATGAATGTAAATGCACCTTTAGGATATTTTTATGGTGCTGTGTATAGTTTTGCATGAGTCAGTTAAACTACTGTAGCTTTTTATGAACTTAAAACTGTAGGACATTGCACTGATAGTGTAACACAAGGTCTTGGGTTCAATTCCCAGTCAATGCACAAATTAATAAATGCATCTAACAAATGCATAAATATACATTTATTATATTTCTAAGGTATGAATCAGTCAAATGAGCTTTTTTTAAAACTTACTGCTCAAATAATAGAGCACTATTTACCACACAAGGTCATGGGTTGGATTCAAATGCACAAAACTTACACACCATCATCATCTGCCAAATGCATGAATGTAAATGCACAGTTAGGATATTCTTATGGTGCTGTGTATAGTTTTGCATGAGTCAGTGAAACTACTGTAGCTTTTTATAAATAGCTCAAAAAATAGGGCATTGCAGTTGTAGCACAAGGTCATAGGTTCGATTCCCAGGGATAGCAATGATATTTATCTAAAACATTTGACAAATGCAGAACTATAAATACTACTTTATGATATTTTTGGGTGCTTTGTATACTTTTTCATGAGTAAGTAAAACTACCGGTGCTTTTTTATGAACTAGTTAAAACAGTAGGACATTGCACTGATAGTGCATCACAAGTTCATGTGTTCGATTCCCAGTCAATGCACAAATTATTAAAAGCATCTGACAAATGCATAAATATGCATTTCTCTTTTTTTATGGAATGAATCAGTCAAATTAGCTTTTTTAAAACTAACTGCTCAAATAATAGAGCACTATTTACCACACAAGGTCATGGGTTCGATTCCCAGGAAATGCACAAAACTTACACACCATCATTTGCCAAATGCATGAATGTAAATGCATCTTTAGGATATTTTATGGTGCTTTGTATATTTTTGGATGAGTCAGTTAAACTACTGTAGCTTTTTATAAACTGACTCAAATAATAGGACATTTTAGTTGTAGCACAAGGTCATGGGTTCGATTCCCAGGGATAGCAATGTATTTTATCAAAGATAAAAACATCTGACAAATGCAGAACTGTAAATGTATCTTTATGACATCTGTATAGTGCTCTGTATAGTCTTGCATGAGTCTGTAAAACTGCAGTAGTTTTTTAGGAACTAATTAAAACATTGGAACATTGCACTAATAGTGTAACACAAGGTCATGGGTTCAACTCCCAGTCAATGCACAAATTAATAAATCTGACAAATGAAAAAATGTATAGTTATGATATTTCTAAGGTTTTAAATTAGTCAAATTAGCTTTTTAAAAATATATAAAGTAAAAGACATCGTCATCTGCCAAATTCATGGACATAGATGCACCTTTAGGATATTTTAAGGGTGCTGTGTATAGTTTTGCATGAGTCAGGCAAACTACTGTACCTTTTATAAAAAAGCACAAATAAAAGGACATTGCACTTTTAGCACAAGGTCATGAGTTCGATTCCCAGGAATCAAAATGAAATTTATCCAAGATAAAAACATGTGACAAATGCAGAACTGCCCATTTATTATATTTTTTTTAGGGTGATTTTATGTAGTTTTGTATGAGTCAGTTAATTTAGCTTTTTTTAAAACCAGTTCAAATAGCAAAGCACTGTATTCACGCAAGGTCATGGGTTCGATTCTCAGGAAATGCACAAATTTAGACATCATCATCTGCCAAATTCATGAACATAAATGCACCTTTAGGACATTGTTATGATGCTTTTGTTTAGTTTTAAATGAGTCAGTTAAACTATCGTAGCTTTTTATAAGCTTGCTCAAATAATAGGACATTGCACTTAGCACATGACACGAGATCATAGGTTCGATTCCCAGGAAATTGAATGAAATTTATCTAAGAGACATAAAGGGATATGACAAATGCATAACTATAAATGCACCTTTAGGATAGTTTTGGTGCTTTTGTGTAGTTTTGTATGAGTCAGTTCATTTAGCTTTTCATACACCAGCTCAGACTGTAGTATATTGCACTAGTAACACAAGAGTTCGACTCCCACGGAATGTAATAATCAAAGAGAGTAAATAACTGTAAATAACTGTAAATGCACCTTTATGATTTTGTTTGTGTAGTTTTTGGTCCTCTTTAGAGCTTGATAGATGCTATAATCTGTCTAGTTATTTTAATATTTTGTGCACAAGGACATAAGTGGTTTGGAATGACATAAAAGTAAGTATAGTTTAAGTGTTATTTTGTGTGAGCGATCCCTTTAAGCCAGACGCAAACATTAACAATGTGTAAATCCATAAGAGTGAACGTGTACTTAAAGACGAAATGCACCACATACAAAGCTTTCCATTGTCTCTCGTCTGTCCTCACATTAGCATCAATCCTTCACAGCCATCAGGCGTCCACCAAACTGACGAATAATCAACTCCTCGACTCCCAGAAGTCATTTCTGGCGCTTCTGAGATCACATACTTCTTCATACTCTGTCATCTTCTTCATACTCGCCTTCTCCCACTCTGCTCATGGAGCTGCGCTTTCCTAAACACAGCAGCTTCCGTATTTTGAAGCTTGATTCCAGCAGCTGGTTGAATCCCATTTCTCATTCATCTCTCCTCGTTTTACTTGTTGCCAGTCCAGCCTCTGTCTGCATATGCACCATCACCGGTGGCCGAATGAGGCGAAGGAGCGCACAAGTCAGAATCCGTGTCCGATTCACCCTCTGCAATGTACGGCCGGACTTTAGTGCACCGCGACACACCACTAAAGTAGGCGTTGTTCAGAAAGTCCAGGTTTTCTTTAGACTGTGAGATGCTGAATCCGCTGAAGGAGCGCTCCAGCTCCTCGTGGTCTACCGAGGGGATGGAGATAGACGTGTCGCTTTCAGCTCCGGCTTGCGCTTGGGAAGCTGGACGTCCGTCTTCAGCCGGTGTCCCACGGGAATGATGATGTCCGCGGGAGCCTCCGCTGTGGCCTCCAGACGAGCGCTCGTTGGCTGGTGGTGGAGGGATGCGCACTAGTGAGGGGTCACCCATTGGAGATGAACCCTGGCCGGCCTCGGGCGCTGTTTGGGGGTGCCAGGAGGTGGAGGGCGGGCAGTGGTGGTTGACGCAGGTGGAAGGCGGAGGGTCGAAGTTCTTCTGGCCGGCGGAGCTGTTGGAGCGGATGATTTTGTTGATGGAGCCGCTCTTCACCATGTGCTCCACCGGACTGTGGTATGGAGGCGCCGGGTCGGGCTCCTTAGAGGCGAAGTACGCGTCCGTCTCAGACTGCGGGATGCCCATACGCTGGATGTAGATGTTCACCAGGAAATCCAGCTTCCTTTCCATTGACATGACCTAAAAACAGAGGAGAATAGCAAATTCTCACAACACATGCAAATACAGAACAACAGAAATGATTGCGCTCTGTGCTCTAGACTGGTTCCTTTAGACTGCTTTAGTGCTCTAGGCTAGTTTTAACAGCAGAGGGAGCTCTAGACTAGTTTTAATAGCAGACGGCGCTCTAGACTAGTTTTTAACAGCAAATGGCGCTCTAGACTAGTTTTAACAGCAGAGGGTGCTCTAGACTGGTTTTATCAGCAGACACCGAGCTAGACTAGTTTTCACAGCAGACGATGCTCTAGGCTAGTTTTAACAACAGACAGTGCTCTAGACTAGTTTTTAACAGCAGATGGCGCTATAGACTAGTTTTAACAGCAGATGGTGCTCTAGGCTGGTTTTAACAACATACGACGCTCTAGACTAGTTTTAACAGCAGATGATGCTCTAGACTAGTTTTAACAGCAGATGGTGCTCAAGACTAGTTTTAACAGCAGATGGTGCTCTGGACTAGTTTTAACAGCAGATGGTGCTCTAGGCTGGGTTTTAACAGCAGAGGGTGCTCTAGACTAGTTTTAACAGCAGAGGGCACTCTAGACTAGTTTTAACAGCAGATGGTGCTCTAGGCTGGGTTTTAACAGCAGACGGCGCTCTAGATTAGTTTTAACAGCAGAGGTCGCACTAGACTAGTTTTAACATCAGAGGGCGCACTAGACTAGTTTTAACAGCAGACGGCGCTCTAGACTAGTTTTAACAGCAGAGGGCGCTCTAGACTAGTTTTAATAGCAGATGCTGCTCTAAGCTGGGTTTTAACAGCAGACGGCGCTTTAGACTAGTTTTAACAGCAGAGGGCGCAATAGACTAGTTTTAACAGCAGAGGGCGCACTAGACTAGTTTTAACAGCAGATGGTGCTCTAGGCTGGTTTTAACAACATACGACGCTCTAGACTAGTTTTAACAGCAGATGATGCTCTAGACTAGTTTTAACAGAAGATGGTGCTCAAGACTAGTTTTAACAGCAGATGGTGCTCTAGACTAGTTTTAACAGCAGATGGTGCTCTAGGCTGGGTTTTAACAGCAAAGGGTGCTCTAGACTAGTTTTAACAGCAGAGGGCACTCTAGACTAGTTTTAACAGCAGATGGTGCTCTAGGCTGGGTTTTAACAGCAGACGGCGCTCTAGATTAGTTTTAACAGCAGAGGTCGCACTAGACTAGTTTTAACATCAGAGGGCGCACTAGACTAGTTTTAACAGCAGACGGCGCTTTAGACTAGTTTTAACAGCAGAGGGCGCACTAGACTAGTTTTAACAGCAGAGGGCACACTAGACTAGTTTTAACAGCAGATGGTGCTCTAGGCTAGTTTTAACAGCAGATGGCGATCTAGACTAGTTTTAACAGCAGAGGGCGTACTAGACTAGTTTTAATAGCAGAGGGCGCACTAGACTAGTTTTAACAGCAGATGGCGCTCTAGACTAGTTTTAACAGCAGAAGGCGCACTAGACTAGTTTTAATAGCAGAGGGCGCTCTAGACTAGTTTTAACAGCAGAGGGCGCACTAGACTAGTTTTAACAGCAGAGGGTGCTCTAGACTAGTTTTAACAGCAGAGGGCGCACTAGACTATTTTTAATAGCAGAGGGCGCTCTAGACTAGTTTTAACAGCAGAGGGCGCACTAGACTAGTTTTAACAGCAGAGGGCGCACTAGACTATTTTTAATAGCAGAGGGCGCTCTAGACTAGTTTTTAACAGCAGATGGTGCTCTAGACTAGTTTTTAACAGCAGAGGGGGCTCTAGGCTAGTTATAAGCAGTAGATGACGCTCTAGACTAGTTTTTAACAGCAGATGGTGCTCTAGACTAATTTTAAACAACAGATGACATTGTAAGCTGCTTTTTAATAGTAGATTGCATTCTAGAGAAGTTTTTACCATCAGACAGTGCTCTAGACTAGTTTGTTAACAGCAGAGGGTGCTCTAGACTGTTTTTAAACAGCATATGGGTCTTTAGACTAGTTTTTATTAGCAGACGGCGCTCTAGACTAGTTTTAACAGAAAATGGTGCTCTAGACTTTTTTTAACAGCAGATGGCGCTCTATATTAGTTTTTATTAGCAGATGGGGCTCTAGACTAGTTTTTATTTGCAGATGGGGCTCTAGGCTAGTTTTAACAGCAGATGGCGCTCTAAGCTAGTTATTAGCAGGATATGGCGCTCTAAGCTAGTTTGTAACAGCAGATGGCGCTCTAAGCTAGTTTGTAACAGCAGATGGCACTCTAGGCTAGTTACTAGCAGCATATGGCGCTCTAAGCTAGTTTGTAACAGCAGATGGCGCTCTAAGCTAGTTTGTAACAGCAGATGGCGCTCTAGGCTAGTTACTAGCAGCATATGGCGCTCTAAGCTAGTTTGTAACAGCAGATGGCGCTCTAAGCTAGTTTGTAACAGCGGATGGCGCTCTAGGCTAGTTACTTGCAGCATATGGCGCTCTAAGCTAGTTTGTAACAGCAGATGGCACTCTAGGCTAGTTATTAGCAGCAGACGGCGCTCTAAGCATAGTTTTAACAGCAGACAGCGCTCTAGGCTAATTTTAACAGCAGACGGCGCTCTAGGCTAGTTTTAACAGCAGACGGTGCTCTAGGCTAGGCTTTTAAACCCTACACTTAGATGCTGACAAGAAAGAGTGATTGTGTGTTTGAATAAGTAATGAAAGTTGGCTTTTGTCACAAAATTACTATAAACATCTTGTAATCTGCTTAAACTTTGAATTAAATCTTTAATTATTATTATCTTGGGTTTAAGTGTTATGCGTATGAGCTTTTCTCCACAGCTCTTTGCCATTTGTAAGTCTCTCACCTGTTTCTCCACTTTCCCGAGTCGTCCCATCATGCTGGGATCCTCTGGCAGTTCTCCATCCGTGGTTCCTTTAGGACGGTCCTTGTCTGTAATTGGAGCCCCTCGACCGACAATCTGATCCACTCTAACAGTGAATTAAAGACACAAACATGTAAAGCAAACACATCAGATGCATCTGTGTTTTTGCTCAAGTCTGTTTCAGCAGAAAATATGGCTATCATTGTGCATTAAACATGGACAAACACGCCATTTCTTATCCTAGGTACAATCCTTTTTTTGTTTTGTATTTTACAGTTGCAAATAATGAATATATTTTAGTGCTGGGAAAGATTAATCATGATTATTCACATCTAAAACAACAGTTTGTTTTGACATAACATACATGTGTGTATTTAAAGTGTATTTAAATGTATTTAAATACACTAACCGGCCACTATATTAGGTACACCTGCACAACTGCTTATTAACGCAAACTTCAAATCAGCCAATCACATGGCAGCAACTCAATGTATTTAGGCAAAACGATCTGCTGCAGTTCAAAGCAAGCTTCAGAATGGGGGGGGGGGGGGGGGGGGTGGGGGGGAATTTAAGTGACTTTGAATGTGGCATGGTTGTCATACCTGCCAGTTTTTCCTAGGAGTCGCCTGTATTTCAGACCCATCTCACCCTCCTGTTTTGTTATTTCTGCCGGAAAACTCACGTAATTTCACCTACTCCCTCCGCCATCCTATCTCTGACAAATGTTGGCAGGTATGATGGTTGTTGGTGCCAGATGGGCTGGTCTGAGTATTTCAGAAACTTCTGATCTACTGGGATTTTCACGCACAATCATCTTTTACAAAAGGCAAAAGGGGGTCCAACCTGGTACTAGTTAGGTGTACCTAATAAAGTGGCCAGTGAGTGTATATGTACACATGATACACGAAAATATAGAAACAAAGCTCCACATAGATAATTAAATGTATATGTAATTTGTTTCATAGATATATATTTAATATCTAAACATAAATAAACATTTTCTCAAATATATGCATGCATGTGTGTATTTATATGCACAAAATAAATATCCACAGCATACACACATATTTTTTATGTCAAAACAAACTTTAATTTTGAAGCAATTAATTAATCTTTGCCCAGCACTAAAATATTTTAAATTGCATTAAACTGTTTTCATTGCATGTTTATTAAATGACATCTTGCCACCAAAAGTTACTATAATAACCATGTCTTTTTTTCTTAAAGGGACAGTTCACCCAAAAATGAACATTTCCTCACACTTAAGTGGCTGCAAAATTTAATGAGTTTCTTTCTTCTGTTGAACACAAAACAAGAAAAAGCAGTCATTGACATCCATGGTAAAATCAAAAATACTATGGAAGTCAATGGCTGTCTTATTTTTAATTCAACAGAAGAAAGAAATGGAGAATAAGTAAACGATGGCAGAGTTTAATTTTTGGGTGAACTGTCCCTTTAAAGCAGAAAGTATTTTACATGTGCAATAACTGAATGCATGCAGGAGGAGGGGTATGGTAATGATTGGGTGTGTCCACACGCAGACGGACAGAGGTGATTGGACAGAAAGAGTCAGGCCCTCCAGTCGGACGGTTTCTGTTGAGATTTTGCCAGTTTTGAACAATGTGTCAATGTGAAATGATCATCCTCAGCTGCAAATCGCAGTCAAATGCAGTAATGAGCATCGGTTTGACACATTATCCAAAGGTCCGGATGAAGGTCTACACTAGCAGGACTGCGTCTGATTTTAGACACTCGTCTACATATGGATATCACTGAAGCATCAGATGTGTTTAATCATTATATCACATCTAATTTGCTCCTTAATAAGAACCTCTGCATGTGCTCAGCAGAGCCGGTGTGAAGATTAGTTACACCACAGAATATGAACACAAAATAGGCTCATGCTGTATTTTTTCCCCTCACAATTCGGATCTGGAAAACAAAAATCTGATTTCAGCGATAACAAACTGTTATTACATGTTATTACTTATATAATATATAAATGTATAAATACAATTATGGATTCTTGGAATTAAAAAAAAAAAAAAAGATTTAAAGTCTTAAACAACAAGAAGGAGGTAACACTTTACAATAAGGTTCATTAGTTAATGCATTTACTAACATGAGCTAATCATGAACAACACATGTACAGCATTTATTAATCATAATTGAACATTTACTAATGCATTATTAACATCCAAGTGCATGCTTGTTAACATTAGTTAATGCACCATGAGTTAACATGAACTAACAATGAACTACTGTATTTTCGTTAACTAACATGAACAAATACAGTAGTAAATGTATTGTTCATTGTTTGTTTATCTTAGTAAATGCATTAATTAACATTAACTAATGAACCTTATTGTAAAGTGTGACCAAGAAGAATTATATGATAACATTGTGAGATGTAATATTTACAATTTTTTGAAAACGTCACAATTATATGACAAATGCAAAATTCTGAAAATGAAGTTACACTTGTGAGATGTAAACTGGACATTTTAGAAAGCCAGAATTTTAACATATAAGCAGGGCCAGACGGAATCTGCGGACAATTTTTGCTATTTCTGCAGAGAATTTTGGTAAAAATCTGCAGATTTCTGCGGAATTATTTTGGGAGTATCCAGCGGAGTATCATAACTTACACTTTAATATATTAAATAAAAAGTAATAAATTACTGAATTAAAACTGAATAAATTCAGATTTACACATTTACTCAAGTAAATAAACAGAATTAATAATGGGCTAAAAAAAACTGCAGAAATCTGCGGAATTCTGCGGAAAATCTGCGGAATTCTACGCTCGCAGATTCCGTGTGGGCCTACATATAAGCTAAATAATAAGATGACGAAAAGTCTGAATTGCGAGACCTAAACTACAAAATAAGTAAAAACGGCAAACTCTGTTATACATTTCGAATTAGTTCAGATTAAGAGAAGTTAATTTGAAGAACAATTGAATTGAGACAAACTTCGTCAGAATTGTAAGTTAATACAATGTTAATGTAAGCTAGTAAACTTATTTTTAATTTAAAAAGTCAGAATTACAAAACACAAAATCTAAATGTTAAGAAAAAAGGTTTAAAGTGAATTGCGAGGCCTAAAGTTAAAAATTGAGAGACGTGAACTTTAAATGTGAAATTGTTACAAATAAGCCAGAATGTCGAACTTAAGATTTTTATAAGATTTGTTCAAATAAAGAAAATTAAGAAAAAAAAGACAAACTTCAAGTCACCATTGTAAGATGTAAACTACATTTTTTAAAAATGAAAAAGTCAGAATTACAAAATGCAAACCCAAAATGTTAAGAAAAAAAAGAATCTAAAGTGATTTTAGAGGCCTAAATTAAAACATTCTAGTGAGAATTAAGAGATGTGGACTTGTAAATTATTACAAATAAGTACAAATGGCAAACTTAAGATTTTTATACACTTAGAATTTGTTCAAATTAAGAGAAATTAAGAAAAAAATTACAAAGTCAAACTTTAGGTCAGAAATATAAGTTTTAAACTTTTTTTTTTTTAATAAAAAGTCAAAATGTTAGATATTGAAGCATATGAAGTATTTAAAGTTAGATTAAAATTACGGTTATTTCTTATTCATTCATTCATTTTCCTTCAGCTTAGTCCCTTTATTAATCAGGGGTCGCCACAGTGGAATGAACTGCCAATAATTTCAGCATATGTTTTACACACCCATACACACACACTCATACACTACGGGCAATTTAGTTTAATCAATTCCCCCATAGTGCATGTGTTTGGACTGTGGGGGAAACCAGAGCACCCTGGAGGAAACCCACGCCAACAAGGAGAGAACATGCAAACTCCACACAGAAATGCCAACTGACCCATGGACCTTCTTGCTGTGAGCCCACAGTGCTAAGCACTGGGCCACCATGTTGCCAAATTGACGTTAAACTGTAATAAATAAGTCAGAACAGCAAACTTACCGTTTTCACACAAAAAAAGTCAGAATTGTAAGGCTAACTAAAAATATTTAATAAAAAATCTGATTTACAAATTGCAAACACAAAATGAAAAAAAGAGTTAGAATTGTGAGAGGTAATTTTTAAAAAGTGAGTAAAACCTCTGACCTGTGAAATGAACAGCAATCAATGTTTTTATTCTGTGGTGAAATCTAGCCTCGATATGTTTGAGGCCAGCCCTGCTGATCCTCTATACAGAGATATAGCTGCGCGTACAAAATAAAAAGGAAATCCTTTTAAAACGTGTGCATGGTTTGGCATGCCTGAAATAAAGCCATGCCGACATGCAGAACGTAAAGAAAGCTCCATCTCCATCATCATCTGCTGCTTCTCGCTGCCGCGACTCTGCATTTCCAAACAGCGGTGCAGGCAAACTACTCCAGTTGTACTTCAGCTACATGACCAGTAACTAATGGGACGTCTGCTTTACTCCTGATCATTCAGTCGCCACAAACCACAGCCGGCAGATCATTTAGACTTATAGTTTATTTGATCAGTTTGTGGAAACCGATGACCTTCAGTTTCAGAGCTGGGCAGGTGACTTATAAATTGTTTTCATTTGCACTGATTGCATGGCAAAATTTGTAGGCAGCAATTCTCGTCGCTAACAGAATCAAACTACTTTTGGATTACATTTAGATTACTCATAACGTCAAAATTATTTGGTGCCACATATATTGAAGTAGAATAAACTTGTGGTATTTTTATACATGTAGAATATTTAAAATGATTCCAATTCAGAGACTTAAGCTCAAAGTTTTTATTAACAAGTCAGAATTGAAAAAAATAACTCAATAATAATAAAAAAAAAGTTAACTTAATTGCGTGATAAGATTAATACAGTTGCTTACAATAACAGAATCGGACTTCTTTTGGAGTACATTTAGGATACTCATACACTACCACCAATTTAGTTGATCAATTCCCCTAAAGTGTATGTGTTTGGACTGTGGAGCACCCGGAGGAAACCCACGCCAACACGGGGAGAACATGCAAACTCCACACAGAAACAGCAACTGGCCCAGCCGGGACTCGAACCAGTGACTTTATTGCTGTGAGGCCACAGTGCTTCACCCGACATTAAAACTGTAATTTGTAAACATAAAATGTTTATC